ACCAATAAGAAGCCGAACGCATTGAATGTGATTCATGTCGATAACATCGACCAAATGGACAAATCATTGGCACAGGTTATGGAAGAGATGATCGAAACATTTAAAGTTCCGACCGATAAACAGATGCTTTTGTTCACTCATCTAAGACTCGCAAAGAGTTTCTCTAATTATAAACAACGCCTTCAATGCGTTCAGGCGAGACTTCAGGCGCTCTCAATCATTGGTAAATCAATTAGATTTTCAATTCAATTGCATTATTAATTGTGGTTTATATAGTGTACTGTCAGGCAATGGCACTGCAAGAGAACGCGACTTCGCTTTTATACAATGGTTTGATCGAAGAATTAGTAGACGTTTTAGAGCTAAATGATAACAAACTCATTGTAATTGAAATGAAATTATTATTTGTGCATAAAATTAACTAAATTTAATTTGCAGGAAATAAAAGCGGCGTCTTTGCGAACGTTAACGTCAATTATACATTTAGACAGGAATTCAAAGTATTTTCTCTATATTTCGTAATGTAAATGATATCACATAAATGGTTAAATTTATATTTTAGGTTAAATGTGATAATAGACGTGACGGGCGCGGCTTCGTATCACGGCTTTCTCCCAGTCCTCGTTCGCAGTTGTATTCAAGCCCTCATTGATGGCAACACTGAATTGTTTCCGTTGCCGTTCGCGACCGCACTTTTCTCATTCCTCTACCATTTGGCCAGTTATGAAAATGGTATGCATTTAGGCTTTTATAATACAAGTGATAATTAGATTTGTTTGTTATTTAGGTGGAGAAGCGTTAGTACAGTGCGGAATGATGGAGTCGTTGCTGAAAGTAATCAACTGGAAGGGCACCGAATCCGAACACATCACTGTAATTAATTACATTCAAAATAGTTGTCTTCATTTATTTAACACTATTATGTATTAGTTTGTCACTCGAGCCGTCAGAGTCATAGATCTCATAACAAATCTCGATATGACTGCCTTTCAGTCACACTCTGGTCTCAACGCATTTGTTCAACGATTAGAGGTTTGGCTTTTTGGGACTTAATCATAAAAACTTATGATTAATATATAATAAATTCTTGTATGTAGTATGAGGTCGACCTTTGCCGCAAAGAACAGCCGTTTGTCATAGAAGTCCCTTCAAGAAGAGAATCAACTGAAATGCCATTAACTGAATCAACCGAATCGACTGCCCCGTCGACCAGTAGTGGTATTACGCCGATGGAAGTGGACTCTACACTAAACGAAGTCAACCCAATAGCTTCACCCACACCTCTCCAACCGATTAAAGATATTCAATGTTATCCCCAAAGAGCAGCACTTCTTAAATCTATGCTTAACTTCTTAAAGAAAGCCATTCAAGACCCGGCCTTCGCTGATGGCATCAGACATTGTATGCTTTGTTGATTGCGTTTAATTGGATTTAATTTAATTAAAAATTCATTGTAATTGACAGTAATGTACGGCAATCTTCCGCGTTCTCTTCGGCACATTATCAGTAACGCCGAATACTACGGGCCGTCTCTGTTCCTGTTGGCCACGGATGTGGTCACTGTATATGTGTTTCAGGAGCCGTCGTTGTTGTCGTCTTTGCAAGAGAGTGGGCTCACAGACGTTGTCTTACACGCCCTACTCGTCAAAGAGGTAAAAGTGAGAAATTTTCCGTTTTGTTTCTTTAGTTTATTTTAATTTCCAATTTTGAGTTTTATTTCAATGATTTTCCCGTATATTTACTTGAATTAATGTGACATTAGGTTCCGGCGACTCGTGAAGTGTTGGCATCACTTCCTAATGTTTTCAGCGCTCTTTGTCTGAACAACAGAGGGTTGGAAGCATTCGTGGCGTGTAAGCCGTTTGAGAGGCTCTTTAAAGTGCTTCTGTCGCCCGACTATTTGCCAGCAATGCGTCGCCGACGGAGTAGTGATCCGATGGGCGATACGGCCTCTAATCTCGGCAATGCGATGGACGAACTCATGAGACATCAGCCAAGCCTTAGAACTGACGCCACATTTGCTATCATAAAAGTATAAAAATATATTATTAATTAACGATTTAGTAATTAATCCGATGTCTTAAATAGTTGCTCGAAGAGCTTTGCTCTTTGGGAAGTGATCCCAACTATGTTTGCTCTAAACCTACCGCTAAGTCAAACGATACAAACGGCGCCAATGCCAACGAAATGGGTCGCGCGAACAGCACTCCCGTCGGCAATGAAGTCGGCTCTTCGGATGAAGAAGAGGAGGAAGAGGACGAGGCAACAAATGCGGCCACAACTCTATCCATCAAAGCGGCCACCAGTGACGCCAAAACTCCAGTTCCTCTCGTCGACTATATTTTGAATGTCGTAAGTATTTTCTTAAAACATTGATGTATTGATGTTTGCATTGGAAATGGTTTTAATATTACTTTGATTTGAAGATGCGATTTGTGGACGCGATTCTGAGCAACAATTCCACTGACGATCACTGCCGGGAATTTGTCAAACAAAATGGTTTATTACCACTTTTGAATATACTTCAGTTGCCTAACCTTCCCATAGATTTCCCGATGTCTCCGGCATGCCTTTCAGTGGCCAGTGTTTGCAAATCAATTCTGGTATTTCGATAAGTCTGTGAAATATATGTAATTTACTTATAATTTGTTATGATTTGTGAACAGAATTTAGCGCATGAAAGACAAGTACTAACACTTGGTTTGGATGCTCTGAACAAAGTTCTCGAAAAGTTAGATTTACTGCACCGACCATTGGAGCCGCCGGGAGGGAGTGTCCTCTTAGAAGAGCTGGTGTTGGCGTCGAGCAATACCTCCAATTGTGATCCGTTCCAGTCATCATCACTCACACCACTGTTGCACTCTATGTCTGCAGCGCACGCATACATATTAATGTTTGTTCACGTTTGTCGCACCGGACAGAGCGATATCCGTAACCTATCCATCACTCACTGGGGCTCTAAACTCGGTCTAACGGTTCTTCAGGGTCTGAGTCGTCTGTACACATCACTGGTGTGGGAGAGCACTGTTTCGTTTGTCGCACCGGACAGAGCGATATCCGTAACCTATCCATCACTCACTGGGGCTCTAAACTCGGTCTAACGGTTCTTCAGGGTCTGAGTCGTCTGTACACATCACTGGTGTGGGAGAGCACTGTTCTGTTAGCCCTGTGTTCGGAGTCGTCGGCGAACGCCAACTGGCAGTTCGGTCGACACCAATTGGAAAGACTCACGAGTGCTCTAAACCTCAACGACGACATCGATGTGAATGATGTGACTAATAGTGAAGTGAATGGCTCGACCTCTTCTAACATGGAAGTGGACGACAACGTGAACGACAGCACAACAGTCGACACCAATAAGAAGAAAAAGGGCGCAAACACTACTCAATCCAAAATGACAGCTCAACAAAAACAAATTAAACCATTGCTTACCAGTGCTTCGCGTTTAGGTCGAGCTCTCGCCGAGCTTTTTGGTCTTCTCGTCAAAGTAATGTCTATTAAGCAATAGATGTGAAGTTAATTACTAATGATGTTTTCAATTTGATTCATTTGCCAGTTATGTGTCGGCTCTCCAATCAGACACCGACGCAGTCATCATAGCGTTCAAAACCAGCCGTCAGTGCCTTCAGTTCGTTTGTCGCACCGGACAGAGCGATATCCGTAACCTATCCATCACTCACTGGGGCTCTAAACTCGGTCTAACGGTTCTTCAGGGTCTGAGTCGTCTGTACACATCACTGGTGTGGGAGAGCACTGTTTTGTTAGCCCTGTGTTCAGAGTCGTCGGCGAACGCCAACTGGCAGTTCGGTCGACACCAATTGGAAAGACTCACGAGTGCTCTAAACCTCAACGACGACATTGATGTGAATGATGTGACTAATAGTGAAGTGAATGGCTCGACCTCTTCTAACATGGAAGTGGACGACAACGTGAGCGACAGCGCAACAGTCGACACTAATAAGAAGAAAAAGAGCGCAAACACTACTCAATCCAAAATGACAGCTCAACAAAAACAAATTAAACCATTACTTACCAGTGCTTCGCGTTTAGGTCGAGCTCTCGCCGAGCTTTTTGGTCTTCTCGTCAAAGTAATGTCTATTAAGAAATAGATGTGAAGTTAATTACTAATGATGTTTTCAATTTGATTCATTTGCCAGTTATGTGTCGGCTCTCCAATCAGACACCGACGCAGTCATCATAGCGTTCAAAACCAGCCGTCAGTGCCTTCAGTTTCTGCCAGAAATGTGGCGAAATCTTTGACAAAATTACTCGCAAGTGGTCTTTCATGGCAACCGCCCTCCACTTCTCCGATCCCTAAGTTTAGGTATAATTGAATTTGAAGAATGAATAGTTTAGACGGCACTCAGGTATCTCCTCCTATATGTTTTCAACACAGTATATGAGGTCGTAATTTAGTGCCAATATTAATGCATTGATCGCATCGTTGCCTAAGATTTATCTCATTAATGAAACTTAAGCTGGAATTATGTTAATGCTATAATTAATCCATTTTAGATTAACGTTTTATATTTGTTCGGTTGGATTCACATCACCGATGCTTTTTGATGAGCGCAAACATCCCTATCATCTGATGCTTCAGAAGTTTGTGTTATGCGGAGGACAGGACGCCTTCTTTAAGTGAGACATTTGTTGATTTGACGGTAATTATGCCGAATGTGTAATACAATTGATACTCTATTAGTACATTCAAATGGGCGATAACTCAAGATGGAAAAGTGCCTGCGGCTGACGGCCTCGAACACGCCGACCTGCCAGAGGGCGCCGGAGAGTTCCTCGACTCGTGGCTAATGCTTCTCGAAAAGATGGTAAACCCGCGAATGGTGTTGGAATCGCCACATACTATGCCTACAACCAAAACGGGTCAAGACTTCGAGCCCTTCAATCCCGTTCAATACCTCATTAGAACACATCGAGTGAGTCCAACATTAGTTGTTTCTATTAGTTTCTATTTTCTAATTACTTTTTAATGTTTATATTTAGCGCGCCTTTGAATGCATTTCTCATTTGTGGGACAAAAAGCCGCTCAAAGTTCACGGCGAAAGGATGTCTGAATCGATTTTAGCCATTCTTTGTCATCTTCTCAAAGGAGAGGCCATTATTGTGGAGAAATTGGCCAAAGAGAAGGAGACGACAGCTCCCACTACTGTCGCCGCCAACACCACTACAACCACCACCACTAGTGCTTCGACTACAGCGCCGCCCACTGGCGTCCGATCTGCTAATAGGGTTAACGAATTAGAAGACCAGGGCATCAATGCTGACCATTTGCAACAACTCATGGATATGGGCTTTGGACGCGACGTGGCGTTAGACGCTCTGCTCCAGACCAACAGCTTAGAACAGGCCACCGACTATCTGCTCAGTCATCCCGGACCCAGACAAGTGCCTGTAAGTAATTTTGGTGACATTTGTATTACTGGTTTGATTACACAAATCAGAGGCCAGTTAGCTGTTGAATCCGTACGCTTATTGAGATCCAAACTTGTGTAACATTAGTAGAAATGTGTATTTTAATTGAGTTGTTGTCAAATATGATTTAATTAATGTATAATTCGCACAATTATTAGGGTTTGGCCACTGATTGGGAAATGTCTGAAGAGGACCAAATGATGAGAGCGATTGCCATGTCTTTGGGCGAAAACATCACAGTCAACGACGAAGAGGGAGAGACCTCTTCCGCCAGTGAGTTGACGACTGACGTGAAAATGGTTAACGAAGAGCCCGTCACTAAAGAACAGATGGATGTGTTCACCGAAAGCATCCTTTCGGGTTGTTTACGACTATTGGACACATTGCCGGACACTGTCTATAGAATATGTGATTTATTACTGGCTGTCGCCCAACGAAATGGCGAGAACTGGTGCTCACAAATGATTCGCCATTTGTTGCGTGAAATCAATTTAAATGTGACTAAACTTATCGAAAGTACTTGTTATATGCGCGACGCCGACAAACGCACGGTGACTGAGTGGGCGTCTCAGGTCGCCAACATTCC